TTTTTTTTTTCCTCTGGTTGTTTTTCTTTGAGGAAGCTTTTCTACTACCACCTATCTTTATCTTTAACTGTTACACAGCTGCTTGCTATTCTATGGGTCTTAGATTCGCCTTTATTTTATGGAAAGAGTAAACAGATAGGAAAGATGAGTTTATATAATCTCATCTTAATTTTGATGAGCAAGATTTTAGTCAAGGTACTTGAAAAATATTTTCATGGTCACTACGAAAACTCATATAAAAAATAAAAAAAGGATAAGCACTAAATTATTTCTGAAAGATCTGACACAACCATCAGATGTTAGCAATGACATCCTGTCTTGCCTGGGATATCTTAGTTGCTTACTGTCTCATGTAATCTAACAGGAAAATTGCTGATAATTTTGCAGGCCAATCATACAGATGAAGATTCGGAATGTATATTGAGAAATTCTGCTGAGTAATATTGAATTTTATGCCTTCCAAAGCCCAGGATCCAATCTAAATATACATACCTGTTCATTTAACCTCCCAGTGTTGGGACCATGTCATCAGCCTAACTATAAAACACTCTCTGCTTATGGCTTGGGAGACTGGGAGGAAGTCTAAAATCCCTTACAAGGATTAAACAGTGTGCATTAACAAATAATATGTTAACAAATAATATGTTAATGCACACTGTTTAATCCTAAAACAGTTATAAATCGGGATATTTGATTTATGTTACTCTACAATGATCATTGTATCATAGAATGGTTTGGGTTGGAAGGGACCTTTAAGATCATCTAGTTCCAGTCTCCCTGATTCCTCGCTCTAGACCAGGTTGCTCAAAGCCCCAAAAGGATGAAGTATCTGTATTTCAAATTTGTCTGAACTAAGTAACTATGGTAATTATAATTAGATAGTGAAATGGTATATTGCATAGCAGAAAAAAAAAAAAAACAAACTTATTATTTAGTTACCACAGTCTTGCATTATTTGAATCTCAAGTTCTTCTGATGTACTTAAAGTTCCTCAAGAAGGCTAGAAGAGTATTAAGTGGGAGTACCTCACTAACAAGGCTGTGTATTAACTGTATGTTACCCACATCAAAGTTTCTTGCTCAGCGAGGACAGTTCTGTTTGTTCATTGATTTTCTGTATGCTTTTGTCAGTAAAGCTTAAATTTTTGTGCGGGCTTTTTTTTTTCCTACAAATTTAAAGGTTACAGCTGGCAGTGTGTTGTAATACAAACTGTGTTTACTTGCTCAGGTTATGCCTTTTTTGTGTGTGTGTGTGAGTTTAATTTTTCTGTTTCCCACTTTGTGAGCTTTGAGAGGAATATTGTATGTAGCAAACACCAATTGCTGTGCTCCTTCTACAATACTAAAGTGCATTTTAGTCACAAAATCAGAAAAGTAACCTAGGAACAGCAGTTTCTGATGTCTCAGATGTTTACTAACAACTTTGGCCAGGTTAAGAATGGCGGAATCTTCTGGAATATAAGTAGTCCATGCATTCCTCAGGAAGTATTACCAAGTTTTAATTGTATAGCTTAAGATTTTGATTCCCAGTATTAAACATTTATTACAGGTCAAAGTGTTCACTTTATGCATAACTGTATTTAGTATAAGTGAGAGCTGAATTACTTTGAGTTTTTAAAATATATACATATTGTAGTTCTGAATAAAACATACGCTCTAAACTATGTATTCCTAATTTGAGATAAGCTCTAATGGACAAATATAGTTCAGGGACTATTAGAAAATGCACAGTTAATTTGCATTCTACTTCCAGTACATGGAAAACTACAGTGAAATGCTCAGACTGTCATTAAGGGACATGTTTTCTGTATGAAGAATTAAAAAATGGAAATATAAGGGCAGAGTAGGTTGTTTCTAGCTGTAATTTCCAAGTTGTAGTTACTTTAATTTGGGCATAATAATACCTCTATGTGCTCCTGTGCTTTCAACACGCAGATATCTTGAGTGTCTTTCTGCCAATAATGCTTTGCTTTTTCAAACATTTCACCAAAAGTAAGCAATAGCTTCCACACATTATTATTTTCTTCTTCCTTACAACTACTTGCACTGCTTCTGTGCTTTTATCACAGTCAGGACTTCATAAGACAAGTTACAAAAAACCCTTCATTTTCTATCATTTTTGGAAGCTTAAAAAATGTTATCTGGGGTGACTCGATGATTCCCTTTTTTG